TGTGTTGAGTGTTGGGGAAATACATACAAAAGCGCATTATGGTCATTATTTAAACTACAGAAAAGGGCCATTAGAATTGTTCATGGACTTGGTTATAGGGATCATACGAATTCATCATTTGCACATTCAGGATTTTTAAAATTTTTTGATTTAGTAAAATATAAATCTGCTGTATTTATGTATAAAGTCAGATATAATTTGGTGCCAAGTGGTATTTGGGGTCTGTTTGGTGATCAAGAGGGTGGTTATGGATTGAGGGGCCACTTACGTAAATTTAAAAACTCAGGCCATACGAAGAGCATGAACATTTGGTCGGGCCTGTCATTTAGATTAAAACAGATTACATTCAATCTCACTGCTCCTATTTGTACCCCTGCGGCTTTACCCATTTGTGCACCCACCCAGACCCATACACACACTCACATTTCCCAGTGATATGAAATATTTAAACTTAAGCCCCAGTTTAGGAGGTGCAATTACTGGCAGAATGCCGACATTAGAGGTCATAGAGGGTGCACCCCGTTCCATCATCCGTGCTCCCTCACTTGTGTGTAAAAGGCAGAACATGGACCTTTTTCAAGATCCCAAGTACATCGTTAATTTCAAGACTCACCAAATCAACTAGATAATTAGATGGTGTTTGATTTCTGAGCTCCATGGGCATCACATGGAGGTACTGGTTCCCTTGCAAGCATGTAATGACTAAGCATCATCTAGAGAAATTTCTATTTTTTTTTTGTTGTATATGGTAATTGGTTTGGTTGTGTTGTGTTACATGTTGATTTCTTTTTTTTTTCTCTCTGTTTTATTACATGCTTGGAATTAATTAATAAAAAAAAAAAAGATGTCCATGTTTGTGCTGGGCCTGTGGCAAATTTTAAAATTCTACCTTTTTCTTAAATTGATTTTTGTTTTTCTCTGTTCCTCTTCTGGCCCTAGGAGCGAGATGGATTTGGGGGTGTAATGGGACGTCGAGGGCGAGGTGACTGTAACATGGGAGGGCCTGGAGGACTGCAGGAGGTGACGTATGCAGTACCTGCAGACAAGTGTGGCCTAGTCATTGGCAAAGGTAAAGAGGGTTTTTTGCATTAAGTATTTATTATGATTGGAGTTATGATTGGGTCAAGTGCCTAATCATAGCATTCGTACCTCACATTTTTGGTCATGATGCACAGATTAAGATTTACTTATTTATTTATTTTGCTAATTTGTGTTCAAAAGTTTCCAGGAATTGTGAATGTGCTTTGTTGAATCATATTTTGGCTGTCAGGTCGTCTCTCCCACTTGTGCTGCATTGTGACACAACAATAAATAGTGCACAATCCACCAATATGAACAGTCTTAATAAGCTCAATCTAAGTCACCAGAGTGTCTGTTTCCTTTAATAACTGAATAGCTGTTTGGTGTTCTGCCACTAGGTGAAACTTATGAGAAGAGGGGATGAGTGACCACCCTCCTATTCTCCTTCCAGGGCTCATGTATACAGCACAAGTGGCATTCATTGGCTTCACTAAGGGCTTAATGACGGGGATAATGCGTGTAATGTGACATTAATTGTTAAAGGTGCATAATAACAGCCCTCAATCATGTGGAAGGCTGCCTGGCATCTAATGAGGGTCTTTCAGACCAATAGAGTGCGGCGAGGGAATGAATAGGAGGAATTAGCTTATTGGCTATTCATGCCCACTCTATTGCTAGCTATTTAAAAGTCATTGACCATTGCATTGGAAAGAGCTGTGTGTGCGCGTATAAGTGGAGTATGTGTGCATGCGTGTCGCTTTAGTGTGTGTGCGTGTGCAGTGGTGGGTGGGGTCGGAGGGGGCCTCTTTACCTAAGATAAAAACATGGCAATAGAAATGTCAAGTGGCTTTTGTGCATGTAGTGGGGCGAGGGAAACAAATAAACCTGGGCGTTGCGTCCCCCTCTCTGGCCATTAGCATATGAAGTGAGCCAATATGGTGGAGATGGCGGTGGGTCTGGGTGCTGTCAGCCGCCCCTTAAAGGGTGCGGTGATTAATATCTTTACGATGCCATATGCAGCCCGTTGCCCCTCTGTTTTGACCCCCTGCACACATGATGAATCAAGCCACCCACCTGCCTACTCAGACCTAAATTCAGTGCAAGAGCCTTAAGCATTCTTCAACCTAACTCATGGTTTTGACTGAGCACATGTGATTTTCATAAATTCTATTTTTAAGTTAAATACAGTAATGCTGTTGGGCCTCTGTGCTTGCTGTTGCTGTGCTGTCCATCTGACCTGTCGCTGCGGTCCTCCACCTCACCTACAGTACATCTCTCTGTTCAGCTGATCACGCTGGTCAGACTGTTCAACTTTCCCATGTATTTTCTTTTTTAAGTTTCTAACTTTAGCTCTGTTTTGTTCAGACCTCTGTCCAGACTGTTTGTGTGCCTTCTTAGGACGAGTCCTTTGTGTCTAGGAAAATATTATTCTGTATTTGTAAGGACTGAGAGAGCAAACACTCAACGTCAGAGTTTAAAAATTGGCTTAAACTTTATCCTCCTGCAGAAGAGTTGATATACATCCGTGATATATGCAGTGTGCCTCGGCAACACAGCCGCATTCTAGCATTGGCTTAGCTATCCTTACTAGCTTGCTAATAACTTATTAGAAGAGTTGGTTCTGCTTGACGGACATGGAGAGGAAGAGCTGTTCATAGACGTCTGCTGTCAGTGTGCAAGAGAAAGAGAGAGCAGGTCAAGGAGCGACGGAGCACATCGGTGCCGTGCTCGCAGCAATTTAACCTGTTTTGTGTAATAAAAATAAAAAGGAACCAGGGGAATTTCTCTAGTTGATTGATGGCAGATGGTGTCATTTTCTCAACAGATTAAAAAAAATGCATATATATATACACTCACCGGCCATTTTATTAGGTACACCTGTACACTTGTATGCAAATTCAATGCAACACTTCCACCTTAACATTTTTATATAGTGACATAATACCAAAATGTATTGAATATAATCACATCGCCCTGCTGCTGTTGGAGTAATTTCCTGTTGCACATTATGATGGTGATCTCTTCCCTTGAGGACCCTTCCTCACCAGCAGCTAACAGGTCCCTTGGCTTTGCTCTGAATGCCGTCACCAGTTGCACTTTTGTGTCCCCTCCTTTTCTCCAGCTCACTCAACCGGTCTCATTAATAAGGCCTGTATTATCTGTCCACACTACGGCCCAGTCCATGAACTGAATAGTCAGGGTCTTCATTGCTCTCTGCTGTCTGACTAGAAGAGCTCATAATGGCTTCATTAAGGCAGAAGTTTCATTTGGTTGACAATGGGTTAATGGCCCATGTGCAGTCTGTTGGCAGCAAGGAATAGGCTGCGGGAGGAGGAGAGGTTTTTGATGAGCGTTTTCATTTGAAGGCCAGCCAGGGTCATCAGGGTGTCAGCCACAAGTGAACAAATGTGTAATTGATGTTGGGACAGCCCCGGTGTCCCCCCAGCAAGCACCCTCAGCCTTTTTCGTTCAGATGGGCATTGTGGCATCTCATCGCAGAGGACAACACAGAGTCGAGAATGAAAAGGGTAAAAGAGACAAACGATATCCTTAAGAGGAGGATACGCTTGAATTTTGAGCCTTTTCTCCTGCCAGCTATGTTTCATTTTTCCCTGCTGGTGTAATTACGCTCTCCACACGTCGGGAAGCTGGCATCTGATGTGTGTGGGGGGGGTCTCCTTTTGTTTCCCAATTTGCATGGCTGTTACCATAGAATGGTAGATAAGTGGCGAGACACATGCCAGAGTCCTCGTAGGTAGAGCTATCACATCAGTTTAGTCAAGTGAGTCCACGCTGACGAGACGTGTGGCCTAATGCTGCGTCATGTCACATCAGACAGAGGGTAGAGATGGGACAGATTCCATGTCGCGCAACGTTAACGTCAACAAGACAGGAAGGAAAAAAAAAAAATACTGCACAGCAACAGTATAGCTATATCCACTACATCATCAAACAGAATTTAGTTGAAGTGCCCATGTTTGTTTAATTCTGACTTGGATGTAACCACAGCTATCTGAGGGGAGCGACAGATTTAGATGATGATTGTCTGTAGGTTCATCACTAAGAGCGAGCCATTTCACATTATTTTTACCTTGTGGTTTGGTTGGACTTTAAGGACTGTTGTAAAAGAAAATAAAACATTACATCATTCCATTTTCCAGGTGGAGAAACCATCAAGAGCATCAAAGAGCAGTCTCGTGCCCATGTGGAGCTACAGAGAAACCCACCGCCCAACACCGACCCCAATGTGCGCATCTTCTCCATCCGAGGCACCCCTCAGCAGTTGGAAAAGGCCCGCCAGCTGATCGATGAGAGAATTGGGGTAGGTGGTCCGACTCCGGGCCCTCGCCTCCCCCCACAAATTGCTATTGTCTGGCCTGATATTCATGAGTGCACATGTCAATGTGGGGAGCTGCTAGGTTGCTGTGGGTCCTGGTGGCCAGCAGGATGTCACCAGAGGTTAAACATAAAGAATCCATCAAATGGACTTAATGGAGTGCATCAGCAGCCATCCCTGCCCTCTGACCTTGCCTCTTGCTCCCTTTAACCACGCGTGGTTTCTCACTCTTCTCTCCTTCTGCTCCAGGGCCCAGCAATGGCAGGCGACAGCAGCTTCGGTGTGAATCCCTACAACCAAGGACCAGCCACTCCTCCTCAGCCGTAAGAGCCACCTTTCCTCTTCTCATCCTGGCACATTTGGTTACATTTTTTGAATCCAGTACTGGCAAAAAGTGTGCTTACGTTAATGCCTCAGCCTCTTCAGTAAGAAATAACTTAACAGTTCTGTTTCACTTGCATTGAATTATCTGTTTGTTCTTCCTGAAGCGGGGCTCAGACGTTCATGACTGGAGGATGGGGTACAACCTTTCAGATATGGCAGCCTCAAGGCCAGCAGGGCCACAGTGAGTCAGTGCTCTGTATTCAAAGTGTTATGCGGGCTCAGCTGAGACAGTTGCTTTCCCTGTGGCAAAGCACTTCTTTCAGTTACTGACAGATTTACAATCTGCTGCCAGTGGAAATCATTTGGAAGCAGAATTGCAGAAGGTGAAAAGCTAAAGTCAGTCTCAACAACTCTGGTGGTGCTCTATTTGTGTCTGGTTTCAGGTCACAATGGATCCCAGACGGGCCAGATGGACTGGGAGCAGTATTATAAAAAACTAGGCAAGTGTCACTCACAGAGAAAAGGTTTAGTTGTAACAGCCAGCTCAAGGCTTTGTTTCACTATCCTGCTCAGTTTAAATTCTCATTTGTTCACACCAGCCTGATGAAACCAACACTACCAATTAAAAGTCTGGAAACCCTATCTCATTCTTTTCAGTGGGAAGGTGTGTCCAAACCATGAGCTGGTAGTGTATGAGAATGTAGGCATTGTGCCTGTGACTAAGCCTGGAACTCTGCTCATTAGAACTGGAATGTTTTTTTCTTTAAAATCATTTGATAGCAGTGACAAACGTACAACATTTCTTGTTTGTGTACAGGTCAGCAAAACCAAGCTCAAAGTACTGCCCCTGAATACAACAAAGCTTGGGGTGAGTGCTTGTGAAAATACTTCATTATGAGCACAGCATGAACAGATTAAAGGATACGTTTGAGTTTCACCATGACACATCAAACCCGGTGTCTTTTTTTTTTTTTTGGTTCCCGCTCCAGTATTTCTTCCTCACTTGTGTGTTTGTTTGTTTGTGTGTTTACGCTGCCCCTCAGGCCAAACAGCCGGCCCTGGATCTCAGCAGACCTCTAATCCTGATTACAGCGCCTGGGTTGACTTCTACAGACAGCCAATGGCCTACTTCAACCAGGGTGCACAGCAGACACAAGCTCCCGGCCTTCAGGTGAGGAACCTCAACATGTCCCACAGACAACAGATCTCACCCAAACCAACAGTGTGTTAGTCTAAATCCTCCCGTCATGAAGGCGATGTCCAGTTTTTGTTGAAACAATAGTAGAGGGGGTGTTGTTTCAACAGCAGTCATTTTTGAGGAAGTAGAATTGGCTGCTGTCGAACTGTATTGCATTAAATTTGGTGGTATTTGTCTTTTAGCCCAACGTCAGTGTGATGTATCTGGCAAAATACAACACCTCACTCAAACAGTTTCAACAAAAAGTGATTATAACCTTGATGTGAAGACTAGACTGCAGTAGTTTTAGTCTGGCAAACCTAACACACTGGCGACAGAGTGTGTGTGTGTGTGTGTGTGTCAGATACACTTGATCAGTATATCTTTTTTTAATCTAAGGGGACCAATGAAATGAGCTGTGATTAACGAAGTGGTTTTCTTCTACAGGATCATTAGAGAAGACGCCCAGCTTAGACTTGAATCAGTGTGAGGATGAAACAACCCTTTTTTAACAGACAGGGTTCTAGATTTGCAATGCCTTGAAAACTTTTTTTCTTAGAAACACTAGCTGTAGAATGACTTGTGTGATAAAGTAATATTTCTAAAATCAGGAACATTTATTTGTTACTAAATGCTTATGTACACTGTTATTTTGGATAGACAGTATCTGGGATCCCTTTTTGGACTTGAGAGAGCTGCTTTGCTTTTCTATACTTTCCTGTCTTTGACTCCGATTGTGCCGCCAAAATGAACCCAAGGTGTTGTAACATTTCAAAAGGCAATATCTTTTTTTTTTTTTTTCTAGTTGTTGAAATGAAACATGATTACGTGCTTAGCAGTCTTGAATAGCATTCTATGTTCTAAGATGTTTAAAGTGTGTTAAAATGTTATCCTTTTACATAATTCAGTGAAATGAAACTGTGATGTTTTGTTACAGGAAATGTATTTTTGTTACAAGGTATATGGAAAAAAAAAAAGGATTGTCAGCCAGTGGCAATAGTTCTAATTTAATTCCTGTTGTGCTTTGTATGCTCTTTTTCATTGTCATTTTATTGTACTCTGGTTTAAAAGAAGGTGCAATATCTTATTTCATTTTTGAAACAAAGATGGGTTCTCTAATATTTTGACAGACTTTTAACTTGTAGTTTTAAGATGTTCTCTTTTTTTTTTTTTTTCCAAATGAAAATGTCACGGATAATTTATTACATTGATCTAATGAAAGAATTTAGGGGGATGTTGCAAATAGCTTTTTTGCCTTTACTACCTTGTAAAACTGTGTATATATGGTCTCGTATTTGACTGTTAATTTAAAAGTATATATTTCATAATTTGTTTTTTTTTTTTTTCCTGTGATCATTGTTGCAGGAGAATTGTCCCTCTTCTTCTGTTCGGTTTTCATACTGAAAATGTTCAGAGATTTGTGAATGTGTGATTTGAAATTCGATGTTGCATCTCGTTATGAAGAAAAATAGGTGGTCTGTTTGTGTATGTTCTGTATCTGGACTATTCAAGACTGCTAAGCCTCTACTTCTACCTGTGTAGTAATTAATGTAGTATTTTTTTTATGTTTTAAGTATTATGATCAAAAGCTTATTTGGTACCTCCCCAGTTCACCAGCGCCCCACCAGGTCCTGGCTGTGGGCTCAGTCCAATGCTAACTTTTTAATTTTTTTTATTTCTCTGTGATCCAATATAATCGATATAAATGATGCATTATTACTGAGAATTATTCTGGTATTAATATCACTTCTTAATGAAAAGGGATCATTTCAAGATGTCTAATTATGGTGTGTTTATTGTTTTTTCCCTAATGTGTACAGTTAACCATGTATTAAAAACACCCAGACTACCTTTACTGTGTACTGTTAAGCTGATTTGTTTTGTCTCTCTCTCTCTCTCTCTCTCTCTCTCTGGTGACTATTCTAAGCATTTGGATGTCTTCTGTTGTATTACGATACTGAGTGTTGAATATTCTGAGTTTCATGTTTAAAACATTCTGAGAGCTGTATATACTAACAGATGATACATAGAGTATATATAGGCCAACTGTATGTTTTATAAGCAGAAAATATATATTTTGGATAGTCTATTGCCAGTTCTCAAAATTCAAATAAATTTTCCGCAAGCCTCTTGTGGTTGAGTTATGATCAAGTTCTTACTACAACACTTCTTCGCTTTAATGTAGCTGTAACTTTGGTCAGATGCTGCATCACATCACTACACAGCTGCCAACAGAAGAGCAGGTATAAAATATTTCTGCCTCCTTGTTTAGACTGCATCTTAAACATATGGCAACTTCTTCCTTTTGTGTTTTGTGGGAAAAGTTTAAAATTTTCATTTTGCTATACACTTCCATGTTTCATTGCTCTCACAACGGTCCACATATCTCCCAGCACTGTCTCCTCCTTCAGGCGCCAGTTCAGTGACGTGTGTCTCTCTCCAGCTTTGTCGCTGCACATCTTGGCACTCAGCGGGGAGGCCCCTGCCATAGAGGACCCTGTATTGGCCCCATACTGGCCCCTGCATTGATGCTGTGCAGCTGTTTCCAAATCCAACCCTTGATTTTGATCCTTTTCCTTCTTGACACAGTGTCCCCGAGGACACTCGTGTCCTGGTGGTCCTTTGTAGTAGTTGAAAAATGCACGAGTATTATTAATATAGGCCATTCGTGGCCAACTTTTCCTCATCAGGGGTTAATTTATGTATTTGAATCCTCCTTATTTCAGACTGGCTTTCAGAGTGTGCTCCCGTGTTTGGGCACGATGCTGTTTGAGGATTTATTTAATGTGCTGGGCCAAGTAACAAAATAGGAAGACGTGTACGCCGTTTGATTTTCAGTTGGAAAGATCACAACGTCCTCACAATATAACGCAGTCGAATACAACATCCCCACAAAACAATCTGTGACTGACAAAAGGCTTTAAAAGTCCTTACAGGCCAATAATACACCTTTTGATTGGATGCTGTTTTTATTTTGCAAATAATACTTTTAAATGGATATACCACAGTTTCTGTTGTGTCCAGTGATGATAATACAGTGTACTTATTTACTGGAGCCACTATGTTTTTGACCTGTTGATACTTCTTACTCTGCTCAATTTATTTGCTGTAAATACTTTGGTGATTTTACTGACAAAACGTGCTCAGCTTATAAAGTATGACATTGCTGTAGATTAAACCGTCCAACAGATAAAATAGCTCCTTGATCATCTTTAAAATATCACTTATATACCTGCAATAATAAAATAAAACAAGCCATTCTCCATAATAAGAATGTTTACTTTGAGCACTTAATGCCTGTATATTTGAAATGCACAACTTTCACCTGTAATGGGGTATAGTCTACTTCATCGACCACTGAGGCCCAGTCACTGCATAAGCTTGTCTTCATAGCCATGATTGGTTTTCTCACTGAGCTTTATTGATCTGTTCATTTGTACCTGTTCGTAATAATTCAGCATTCATCTTTAAATAAAGTTGCAAAGTGGAGAAATATTAGCATCAACATTAAAGCACCAAAATTAAAGGTATTTACTGCTCAGAATGAAAATTGGAGCTGCTTGCTGGGAAACAATATCACATCGTCATTTGTTAGTTTAATCGTATTTTATAATTTTATCAATGAAAGTATTTGTTTCCTAAATGTAGCTGAGTAAAAATATAAGGTGTCACAAAATGGAAATATTCAAGTAACGTACACGCATCTCAGGACTGAGACCTGAGTAAATGTAGTCAATGACTTTCCAGGGGGAATCTAACATCTCATTTTTTATGATTAAATTGTGGGCTAAACAAATTTAAAGCCGTTTGTCTTGCTGTGTAAATGAAGGTGCGCGCGCACACCTCCACCTCCTCCACACTAAGCAGGTGTCCTGACTCCCCCCGTCCGCGCCAGCAGTCAA